ATTCTACATGTGTGAGTGTTATCTCGAACGTACCCTTTGCATTCGTTCGTCATCGTTTCTTAAAAGAGAGCTTCGTCTTGAGTAGTTTATAACTTGATTTACAGGGTCAATTTCAAATAATTAAATTATTATTCATTCAAACGCGACATCTAATGATTTAATTAGAACGACAACACAAACAAAACCGCTTCTAACTGAATCGATGTAATTGAGTTGTTTGGCACCTTAATTGATTTTTTCGTCCTAAAAATGAAAAATGTAATGGTCCGGTTACTTACGGGTAAGCTAAGTTCACACCAACGTTAACGGCGCTTTAATGGCGCTTTAATGCGACTTGCAAAGCCGCTTTCCACGCCGCATGCTTTGCACGCCGCATGCTTTGCACGCCGCATTAAAGCGCCGTTGATGTGAACTTAGCAATGTTTAATTCGAAATATTTAAAATCTTAACAGAAATCGTAATTTTATGATTTTTGGTCTTCGGTCTTGTCAATGCCTTAAAGTTGATATTGTATACAATAATCATAAGAATGCGCCTGTCTTATATTGTACTATTGTGTATTTTACTATTTCGCCCTTTATTCTTGACTAACATTCTTACAGTCCAGTCATTTTCGCATTTCGACTTATAAAATAGGTTTTGAAGTCGCATACCTGCTACTCAAATACGTCATGAACACGATTGGCATATCAATTCCAGGGACTTACAGGATTGATTAACTTATGGTAACAAGATTCAAGATTCAAGATTCAAGATTTTATTGTGTTTCAAACCAAACACTTGGTTTCCTCACAAAATCAATTACAAGACATTTACATATAATTATACAGTTAAAAAAAAAAAAAACATGCATTGTTTCACAAATACCATCATACAATCTTTCCTTTTTCAAATAGCTCCCGACGCTGATTAAAAAGTTTATTTATAAAATGTATCAATTCGTTAACAATTTCAAAATCATCAGAAGTCATCAAAAAGTTATATTTTTCTTTATCCGACATATTAAAGAAAAACAATACCAGAGATTGATTGAGGGGGGGGGGTTGAAATACAAGACATTAATTAAAGTAAATAGCAATTAAAGCCTAGAGCTTAGGGTAATAAACCTTCAATTTATCATGATAATGGGAATACAGTCGTTATGAAATATCACAAATTTATCACCCTTACCGGTGATTAAATACATTCAATGATAATAGGATGGATTACAACCAGAATTATAACTAATAGGCATTTGAGAGTCAGTTTGTAAAAGCGGTTTTGCCTTCGAGTACTTCTGCTAAGAACGCGGGGCTCTAGACAACTGTGTTCTTCCTTCTTCTTGAAGAAGGGCGTGGGAGATGTGAAGATCTCTTTTCAGTGGATGTTGGGAGAACGTAAAGAAGATTGAGATCATGACATGGACGAAGTCAAACGTGAGGCAACTGAGGCAATAGCCTCGCCAAAATATTTCAGAAATATTTTCTTTTTTCACTATAAGAAATTGAGGAATTAAAATTGTAGAAATGAAACCTCAAAGGTAGTAATATACGCCATTGATTCTGAAACTACCTCCTCTTGTTTGCCTTGTCTAATTTAACATCCTGACTACGCCCTTGCAGATGAATAAAAAATGCGTTTATTCTACCTGAACCTACCTCTACCTGAAGGTCTACATCTATTTAGAAAACGTGAGCTTCGCTCTGGTTTGCCCTATCTAGGCAAGAAGCAGTCTATAAAAAATAAAAAAACACGGATGATAATCCTTAACTTGGTTTGTTAGTTGACAAAATCCATTCCACATATTCACCTATGGTCTTATTTACACTGCTCAAGAAATACCCACTGTCGACGCGAAAAAATATTTGTACATTAATAGATACCTATTTTTACTCCTTTCATTTGCGGGTAATCCAGATGTGACTTTTAGCTTTTCTTATATAGTTCTCTGGGGTGATTAATGTAAACTGCACAAAATGCAGGTAATTTCATAATTGTTCTTTGTAATCGTGGATACAATGACGTCATACTAAGTATCACTTTAAAAGATCGTATACAAAGTCGTTGCTCAAAAGAAAATGCTTTTTTAATATATAATTTTTTAGGTATTTCAACAACATCATACTGATCTTTACATTCCATCTTTCTTTGATTTTTTGGTACCTGAGACAGATATTGTAGCAATGGCCGATCGGTCAGAAATCAGATTCCATATCCCTTCGTGAATAAAAATCCCGCATAAATCAAATTGACACATTTGCCTTTTGGAGTGTAAGGTTTTGGGCATCATTATCAAAATTACATGAATTAGGCCTTCGTTTTGAACTGAAAGAAGTTTTAGGGGGATTTTAAGAAGGATTTTCTCCAAAACTCTTTGACAATATAACGGGAATGACGTTTACGTTTAAGTCCTATGCGCCAATACACGCAAGTTGACGTTGGGAAGGGAGGATTTGTTCATATGTTAGGAGGCCTTTAGGGTATTTCACGTTTTCTTCATATTTTGATAATGAAAGCGTCTCTAGCTCTATCCGCAGTTTTCAGTAGTTCTTCACCAAAATGATACGAATACTTACTTTTTAACATCATTTTTTTTTTCAATGGATAGGTAAGTACTCGATCGTGTATCTGTCACCAAAGACGGCTCAAACAAAGGGAACACCGCAAGGTGTCTACCGTATACGCCATCTATTAATTCAAAACGAATGAAAAACACCAAGTACTAGTCCATGGTATGGCTTCCGAATATGAAGGATATGTAGCACACGATAGCGCAGCAACATTTGAAGCAATATTTATGAAGGTGTATATGTCTTGATTCTTTTAAAATACCATTTGCTGAAAAACTTCCGGCTTTCGGGTCGAAAAATGTCTTTCATCACAGGGGGTCAAAAAACGTAAATATTTGGATTCGAACTTTTATACATTTTATAAGACATAGACCGTCATTCTAAGCATACGAACAAAAATAGATTATCATAATTAAAATATATACAATTTAATTCTACCGTAGATGTTGGTATTTAATTAGTGTAAGTGTGTTTTTCAGATTTTGTTTGATTTTTCAAATATGAGCCAAGCCGATTCAACAAAATTATGTGGAATATTTAGGTAATTTATGATTGGGAACATATTAGTTTTCTTACTATTTAGAACATTTTATTACCAGAACTTTTCCATATAATCGCAAGGGGTCTAACAACAAATTATTGTTCATGTTTTATAAAACATAATACAATAACAAATAGGTAAGATTAATATCTAATTAAATGTTACAGAGGTATTGGAATGTTCCTATATTCCAAGGGCATGTCTAATAATCAATTAGAGTCATATGCAATCGAACGCCTTACAATTCTTCCTCGACGTTACTTGTGGCTACCATCAAGTTTTCTGATGGTTGTGTCTTCTTTGACCTTACCGATGCTGGATATAATCGAATTTTAAGAAGATAATGATAACGATTTTTCTCAATTATTCATGAATTTGATCAAATCTTGATGGTTGTTTAACAAGCAACTGACCTATATCTAACTACGGGAAATAGTATTTTAGCTGTAGTCCCAATTAGTCAAGGAAGAGCAATAGGCCCTCCTTTATTGATAACTTTCACCGCTAAATAAAAGTCCATATCTCAAAACGTATTAAGACCCATTTTGTGAAAAACTAGCATAATCTCTAACATTTGTCATTCCAATATAAAAGTGATTCATTTGTAGCATTTATCTTATTAATACCTGAGAAACAATACAAAACGTCGATACACTGATTACATATTTTTTGGTATTGATAAAAAATTAACCTCAAACTTATAGCTTAGAAACCTAAATCATAAATTTAAAATCATTTTGTATTATTTTCTGTTGCATTGTATACTCCAAATTGTGAAAAATTGGGATTTTATTTTTTAGTGATTTTTGACCTCTGTTAATGGCAGGCATAATTCAGCCTAAAAGCCGGAAGTATATTGAACGGTTATAATAAAAATTATAAGGCAACATATGTAGGTATGCTAATGTCAGGTCAAATATCACTGCGCTACCAGCTCCTTTATCAGACGTCCTAGAGATTTCAAACTATGGACTATACCTTCTGTTAAGAGTGCACTTCTTGCTAGCTTTGCCACGAGTCGGTCTCTTTTACTTATCGTGATTTCTCTTATCGTAATGATTTAAGATCAGATGAGGAAAAAAATACAGATTTGGACAAGGGTAACGTCTTGCTAATATTGTCTCAGGAAGTTCACATAAGAAGCTTGGTACAGTATTTAACTAACAGTTCCAGTAACAGCGCCCTCTTGTGTTTCATTTACTTAAATACGCAAAGTGCCTATGCCCCAAGGCAGGGTTTGACAAGGGTGTAAGTTTTCAAAATCTACACGATAACATGACATGCATGATGACTACTTACTTTTGGAAAAACGCCCCAAAGGCTTGGGCCCGACCTCTTAAATACAGTAAGCGATCTTTGCATCGTGAATATTTTTATTACTAAACGGTAAATACTACATACTTAATATGAATGTTAAAATCCAGATGTTACATTTGAAATTGTCCTTCTAGAATTTATCCAAACATTTACACTACCCGAAATATACAAACAAGTTTGGCAACACACACCTCGTGCTAAGTGTTGATTCTTCAAAAGTCGAACATTTTTGTGCTAGTGAGGAAAAATGTAAACATAAAGAGTCTAAAATAGTTATTAAAGAGTGAGACGGGGTTTCAAAAATAGTTGGTCCAGGGAGTGTATTAGTTCAGATATACACCCTCTCTAAAAGTTTGGTAACCGGCAATCTCCTTTTGGATAATTCAAAAACGGATAATGATGGGTGATCAAAAAATTCATCATTTAATGACGACAAAAATCCCGTACCATTGTCAAAATTTCAAACATTGACAGGCAGGTGTTGATATGTTATCGAATGAAAACCCGCGGTTACCAAATTTATGAAGGGGAGTGTATGTTGTTGACATGGATTCGATGTTCTCGGTGTATCTTGGTCCGATATATCCCTTGTCTTAAATGTACGACTCTTGTCCGATAAAGGTTCCATGTATTGCATCCACCATATTCTGCAACATCAAGAAGTTAGCTTGATCATTCATGGCTTGCTCAGCTTACGAATAGAAATTATTATTTGACACGTTTATCATATTGGATACTACATTAACATAAACAGTACATAAAATCTACATATGATTTGATAAATTAGGACTTTGAAGGATCACCTTATGTTGATTTTTTTGTGACAATGAAAAACTGAAATGGAATAATAACTGATTTTTCATAACTTACCATGTCTCTCTTGTTCCGTTTCCCATCTTTTGTATATTTATTTGTACGTTTCCTCTCTTTTGTGTATTTCCCGGGAGGTTTTCGGTCTTTAGTATATTTCTTTGAATGTTTTTTGTCTTTTTTAAACTTCTTTGGACGTTTTCTATCCTTTGCATATTTCTTTGGGCGTTTTCTATCTTTTATATATTTCTTCAGACGTTTTCTATCTTTTGTATATTTCTTTGGACGTGTCCTATCTTTTGTATATTTCTTTGGACGTTTTATATCTTTTGTATATTTCTTCAGACGTTTTCTATCTTTTGTATATTTGTTCAGACGTTTCCTATCTTTTGTATATTTCTTTGGACGTTTTCTATCTTTCGCAATTGTATATTTCTTTGGACGTTGTCTATCTTTTCTATATTTCTTTGGACGTTTTCTATCCTTTGTATATTTCTTTGGACGTTTTCTATCTTTCGTATATTTCTTTGGACGTTTTCTATCTTTCGTATATTTCTTTGGACGTTTTCTATCTTTTGTATATTTCTTTGGACGTTTTCTATCTTTCGTATATTTCTTTGGACGTATCATATCTTTCGTATATTTCTTTGGACGTTTTATATCCTTTGTATATTTCTTTGGACGTTTTCTATCTTTCGTATATTTCTTTGGACGTTTTCTATCCTTTTTATATTTTTTTGGACATTTTCTATCTTTCGTATTTTTCTTTGGACGTTTTCTATCCTTTGTATATTTCTTTGGACGTTTTCTATCTATCGTATATTTTTTTGGACGTTTTCTATCTTTTGTATATTTCTTTGGACGTTTTCTATCCGTTACATATTTCTTTGGACGTTTTCTATCTTTTGTATATTTCTTTGTACGTTTCATATCTTTCGTATATTTCTTTGGACGTTTTCTATCCTTTGTATATTTCTTTGGACGTTTTCTATCTTTCGTATATTTCTTTGGACGTTTTCTATCTTTTGTATATTTCTTTGGACGTTTTCTATCCGTTGTATATTTCTTTGGACGTTTTTCATCTTTTGTATATTTCTTTGGACGTTTTCTATATTTTGTATATTTCTTTGTACGTTTCATATCTTTTTTATATTTTTTTGGACGTTTTCTATCCTTTGAATATTTCTTACCTGTTGGAAATTTCTTCGCGCACTTTCTAACTTTTGACTGTTCCCTTGAACGTGTTTTGTCTTTCTTACATTTGTTTCTGCATCTTTCATATTTGTTAGGACGTTTAATTAAAGCATATTTCTTTGGTAATTTTATGTCGAACATTGCTTTTTTCGGACTTTTTATACCTTTCTTGTTTGACAGTTTAACGATTTCATATTTCTTTGGCAAAGTTATGTCTAATTCATTTTTGTTTGGGCGCATTCTATTATTAGTGTAGTTGTTAGTACGATGGGGATATCTTGTATATATTGCTGGCAAGTGAACATCCATCGTATTCTTGTTTGGACGTTTCGCATCTTTTGTAGGTTTGCCTGGTAATTTTGTATCAACTGTACTTGTGATTTGACTTTTTATATACGGAATTATCTCATGTGAGGTCAAGTGTCCTTTCTGCGGATTTTTTATGCTTCTCACGTCCACATCTTCTGTAAAAATAATCAGGAATTTGTTTGAAAATAGATGCACTTTTCTTTTAGTTTACAAATTGTCCTGCCAATCACTCTATTTCTTGATTTTGAGAGAATATCATGTTTCGAGAAACAAGAAGATGTCAGTGAGGCAAACAAGAAGATGTTATCAAATTACTACAGAAGTATATTTTGAACTGTAAAGTGCAGACATGACCTCAAAATCACGAAAAAGTTGAATTGCATTCTACAGTTCCTTCAAGCTTATGTGATAATCATAGAATATTTTATGCTGTTTTATAAGTCTATACATGCAATACTTTTGAAGTCTATTCAAATGTATCATCCTTTGAAAATTGATTGAAAAAAGTCATGCAGATTCTTTGATTTGTTTTCATTTCACTTGATATCTGATTCACGTTGAAGTATTTGATAAAAGACCTAATACCTGATTTAGATATTTGTAAGTTTGACCGACCAGCTGTATCTTTTCCATGTTTTACAAGCTTCTCGATTTTCATTTTCTCTACACACCACCCCTTAATCGGTAGAGAAGGATCCGTTCCATCCAACGGCCGATCGTCCCTTACACACTCCTTGCCAGCTTTACAATCTTCTTTCTTTTCACATGGCCTTGTTGCTGGTCGGGGACCCTGTTTGTACAAATCATCGCTTTAAAATATGCTACGAAATATGCAAATCATATATTTATTTACGTGTCATGGTCCGCTTAGGCATCTGTCCAACACATGTTTGACATATTAACAGCGGTTACACGAGAGGTAAGTTATATTAATTACCAGTAGTCAAGTAGAGACAGAAAACAAGAACATAATCTTCAGAATGAATAGCTATACTGGAAGTCGTTTTTCGTACGATCGTAACTTACGATTCCGAGAAAACCATGTGTCTCTGTTTTGATGAACATTGCGACCAAATCGTAAGTTACGACGGTTTCAAAAACGGATCCCTGTATAGTTGTAGTTTCTTAAAACTTGAACTGAAATGTTGAAACCGATTGAACCTTATCAAACTTAAAAAAACTTTGATCAATTTTGATAAACTTGCTGTTTTCATCTCTGAGAGTATTTATACAATCCAGGAAGTTCTACTCACCGGCAATGGAAATCCAACTGTCAGATGACAGATTAGAATGCATGAAATAAATTTGAATGTCCCCATATTTTGCATGGATTTAAAAATCAAACGTCCATCACTACATTATTTATCCCGTTGTACTCGGATCCAGGTAAGATCTCTATGACGTCATAATGAATTTATTTCAACGTCATGGCAACAACATTCTCATAATTTGTTTGTTTCAGAAACATCACAAAGATACCGCCGTCACATATGCATCATAGATTGGACCTTGGAAATTGGACTTTTATAATTTTACGGTCTTATGGTGGATGTAACCAAATTTTCACCCCACATGTCCGTCACTGCTGCACGTTGTATCGGGTCAAGATTGTAGTTAAAAATCCCATTTAGGACCATTATAACGTTTCATTTCATAATATATTCATGGGCACAGATCTAGCTCAGCGAAACAATGCCTAGTGTTCATCGGAGTCTTGTCTAGCTTGCCGTTACAAGGTAATGATACGGTGAACACATCGTTTTTGAGATAACTGAATCTGGAGAGAGCTACTACTGTAAAGCTACCTGTTTCAGAAACTTATTCTGCTCTACATAGTCTCGAAAATCACATCGCCATCTCTAAAAATTCCGTTCTAACCAAACTTGTAAATGTTTCCAGATAGATTAGTACTTACCCTATAGAGAATAAACCTTGATTGAAAGGAGAAAACGCTTTTTTGGAAACCAAAAACCGCCAGTATCCCTTCTCCGAACTATATACATAATACATCGTACACGGCGATTAGTACTTCATTGGATCGAGAAAGAGAAAGTCTAGATATTAGTAGTACACGTTGGTCGATTAGGCTTCGTATTTGCGAATGCAACTTTCGGCTATCGGCTTCTAGATCAACCTACTATATTATGGATATCTCATTCAAATATGAATATAGTACCTGTATATATGTATTCATTCATATTTTAATGAGATGGTCATAAAATAGTCATTTAATCCGGTAGCCGACAGCCGAAAGTTGCACTCGCGAATACAAGCTAAGATATGAACAGTATGCGTCGATTTATTAGCATTACCAAATGTTGCTGAACCACATCCAATATCCACTTTCCCCAGACAGATATACGGTTACGATTCAGCTACGACACCATCGTATACAATTTCATCGTATGTCAAAACCGTCGTATACTTTCTTGGGGATTCTACGGGCTAATAAGCTTAAGATCAATTGAGATCTTTATTAGTATGTATTGTATTTGGCGTCATAAGTTCATACACCACGCCCAGTTGAAGGGTTTGTGGGTCGCAGGACCTAAAAATCTTCATGGGGCTATTAATGCCATTTTATGACATATTGAAACGATTGAGAAAAAGAGTTTTTACCTCTCACGGTGCGCGTGACACCAAAATGTTCACACTAATTTAGCAAAAGACGTTTTCATGGTATTTACTAAGTCTAACAAAGTATTTGGTTAACAATGTATTCTGCAGCAATTCAGAATGCGTTTTAATGCAATGCAATGCAATACGACAATAAATATTAATCAAGAATATATTTTACTTATTTTACTGTGCTCATTATGTATTCATATCAAATATGAAAAAGCATACATATTCTGTAGTACGAGCCTCGTATTACCCGTTTCATAATTACAACTGGGAAACAAAATAAATATTCAAACATCATCAGGTTTTAAATTATCGTCATCAAATGAGACGTTCGGTTGTCAAAATGGAAGGTAGTGTACTTCATACTCAGATACATATGTCTCAGGATAAACATACGTTACTTATCTAGTCTGTTTTCATACATCATTTCAGTGTATGCTTTGATGGTGTTTTCCTGTAATCCCCTATTGGTCTTGAAAAACACGACTTCCAGTGGATGTATTTCGATGTTCGTATAGTATCCGTTGCGCACATATGGATCACCTTTATGCTTTCCTCTGACGTCATGTTGGCACTTTTTGTGTGTTTTTTCCTTGTCTCTGAAATCATGGCCTTCCCAGCGTTTTAACATAGATGCGACGTTATACCCCTTTTCGATAAACGCATACGTCAGTTTGACTTCAAAATTATCAATTGCAGACTGTTTGTTCTCGTGGTCACATTGAAGCATGGGCTCAAGGATTTTAAGTCCAGTTAGGTCAGTCACCAAAAACATGGATTGTAGATGTAGCTTGAAGGTTGGTTGAGTATGATGTGGGCACCAAACAGTTGTTCCAACTAATTTGACATCATCTGAAAAGTATTTGGTGAATATTGAAGTCCAGTGTTGGTCTACTGCGTATACAGGTAGGAAAGGCCCACGTACTGATGTGTTCATGAAAAATACATATTTGTACCATTTTTCCCCCTTTTTACTCTTCATCGTACGTAAACCATGTTTCCACGCACACGAATCAAACCCAGTGTTTTCCCTTCTGATCACGTGTACGTTACTCATTGCTGGAATATCAGCCGAGCAATTGAACCCATTCACTATGATGGCGTAATCAATATTCGAGTTGTTCTTGTCTTTCTTTATCGCAAAATCAAGGAAGAATTGTAAGTTGACTTTTCTGTCTCTGGCTTCATGGTACGCGTAGAGAACGAGAGTGCGTTCAACAGCGGTTGTATCTAATCCAACAGAAGGTGCGAGGTTTGAACCGCTCGACACGTGGCCGATGCTACCTACAACACACAAGGATAAATGATCGTTTATTCATTTGACTTATTAAAGGTGCAACAAATAGTACAAAGGGGCCATTGAACGATCATGGACCAATGTCAAAATATATTCAAGTTTGGATATTTTATGAATATTATTTCAGCTGACAATCCTCTTGAAACGACTTCCTTTTATATAAGCTTTCGAAATTAATTTACACTTCTTATAGTCACGCCCGGTGATCGTGAATATGGGACAAAGGGGGGGGGAGCAGGCAATTTCTGCTAGGAAATTCAACAAATCTGGAAGATTTATTTTTTCAAGAAAAAGTTTACTAATGAATTGCTAAATGGATAGGCGCACGGTATGGTAGAATATGTTAGGTTTTCTGGGATTTTTTTGAAACGATACGCATCTAAGGTATGAGATCTATTAAAAAAAGGCGCAAGGCCATCAACAGGCACAAATCAACGTTTTTGCTATAAATCAAGCAACGATGGACTACACGACCTGTAATAAATACTTGTAAGTGATGTTATCATAACTAAATTAATGTCATTGCTGAATTTATAAAATAAGTTTCCATACGTAAAATAAAAAATAATCGAAAATAATTAAAATGGGACGGAAGGGGGGGGGAGAGGGGACGGAGGGGGGAGTAATAATTCTATAAAGTGAAACAACTTCACACGAATTCTTGTATTTGAAAAATGAACTCATTAACTTAGTAAGAAACTGGATGATGTACCCCTGGAGACTGAAAAATGGGGACATTTGGAGTAAAAGGACTTAAAGTCGCGAAACATCTCTAATCATGTCTTATATACATATTGCTCCCCCCCCCCTTCGTCCCCTCCCCCCTCCGTCCCCTCCCCCCCCCCCTCCGTCCCAAATTCATTATTTTCGATTATTTTTTATTTCACATATGGAAACTTATTTTATAAATTCAGCAATGACATTAATTTAGTTATTATAACATCACTTACAAGTATTTATTACAGGTCGTCCAGACCATTGTTGTTTGCTTTATAGCAAAAACGTTGATTTGTGCCTGTTGATGGCCTTGCGCCTTTTTTAATAGATCTCATACCTTAGATGCGTATCGTTTCAGAAAAAATCCCAGAAAACCAACATATTCTACCATACCGAGCGCCTATCCATTTAGCAATTCAATAGTAAACTTTTTCTTGAAAAAATAAATCTTCCAGATTTGTTGAATTTCCTAGCAGAAATTGCCTGCTCCCCCCCCCCCCCCCCCCTCCGTCCCATATTCATGATCACCGGGCGTGATAGTTAATCCAAACATTTTAACAAAGTAGAATGGGACGGAAAATATCAAACAGCCAATTCAGTAAATCTAAAAATCAAATCGTTATTCCTATACATACCATTAGTCGAAGTCGGTTGTTTGGATCGGTAAGTTGATTGTGTGTACATGTACAAGGCCACCGACATGCAGAAAATAGCCACTTGCACACATATCACAGCGATACAATTCAGCCTGAAAAAAACGTTACAGCGTAATTATGAAGGCAGTTCTCTGGATAGACCAAGGGTGAATGTAGCCTAATATAAACCAAACAAACGCCTCTCATTATTGATAATAATCATAATCGTGCTTGTATACATACAGATACAAGTACACAATCTTATCCATCCACGTTTGGAGGGGAGGGGGCAAATAGCAATGGTTATAGTTCTGTAGGCCAAATATTTTACATATTTTACGATAAAACGATCGCACAAAATGATAAGCATAAAAAAGCATGTAGTCACGTTTCGCCAAGAGGAGGGAAAGCCCCAGAGTTTAAGACATAATTACGTCTCTTGCTTACCACCTTCGTCCGTTCGAATTTTCATCGGCTAGTTATCAAATGCTACACTTCGATGGGATGTTTTAATTGATATTGGCATATTCCTAACACCTATCTTTATCTTGATGTGAAATGAGAAGCTATGATATTGGTTAACACGCAAGAAATGAACATAATATATTATTCGAAGCGTATTTCGAAAATTTTGAAACCGCCATTGATGACGTCATTTGTTTGTAGACTTTTGACCAATCAGCGACGTTGTCATCTCAATTGTAACATGAGCACATTCTTTAATTACATAAATTGAAAAACAAATAACTAAACAGCATATTTGTAATTTATCAAAAATGAATTACTACGTTTCGTAAAGTTATTAGATTATAAACAATACCTCGAGGCAATAATTTAGAAATGCTTGTTATCAAGTTTAATTATATCTGTGTATAAAACAAACTCGTCTAGATTGTAACCAAAACATGTAGTGAAAATAGTTTACCATTAACCTGCGATGCTCTGAATCGGATATAATGCTATGTATAGATGTCACTCGACCTCATATGTAACAAAAGCAGAAGCAAAAGTTAATATAATACACCAATTACAAATCAAAATTATACAATGCAAATTAACCGATTGTAGATAATAACAATTAAGTGTTGTATATTAAATTAGATTCACTAATTGTGCCATTTATAATGCATGAAACTAATTCACTCACACCCCTTGTAATACCAGGCAAAGGCCTTAGGATTTTTCAAGCTTTTAGTATTGAAACATTAATTCAAGACAAATGAATCTATTTTAAAGGATAGGTATCAATATGGTGAACTGAATTCAACAATGTTTTTCTCTTAAACCAATTATTGAAAACATTCTGTAAAAAACGCGTGTTTAAAAAGTTCACCATCGATACCACTCCTTTGGTTCAAATATATATAGCGCTATAGTAATCATGGATTTGTCATAAAGAAGTAATTCCGCAGACTAGGTGATTTGCCTCTTAAGCCTCGCACATGTATTTTGATAAATCTGGCGGGCGTACGGCGACCATAGCTTCACGAAATAGATATAGAAAATTTACATTGTAGTTATCATTCCTATATATTTCAAGCTGCGTGATTTTCTAAATTTTCTAAATTTCGGGAAGCTACGGCCGCCATACGGTTGCCGTAGATCAAATATGACTGAGGCATCGCTTTAAACTTATACACGATTGATTATAAATGAGTTGTATTATATATACGTATCTGTACTACTGTCCTATCATTATATCTAAAACATTATAAAGCCTAAATGCAAATAAAAATGGTTATATTTATAATAGATACGTACAGCAAATAATAGTTAAATAATCGCATGAAGATGTTATGTCCAGTTTCACATCAAATCTATTATAAATTTACAACTACCTTTTGAAAAATATGAAACAAGTACCTCATTTTTTGTTCTCGAATCCAAAATCAGCTTTTTCTATCGCTATCTTTTTTACAATACAATTGGAGCCAAAGCAATAATCTAATCAATTAAAAGTACTTCTATATCATCTTTCGTGCATTTCGTTTCTAATCGTGCATAATTATTGGTCCATTTGCTGCAATTGCGATTGTAATGTCATTTGTAGTATTTAGTATATTTTTTATCCGTATCAGTCTGTCTAAAACTAGTATAGGACGCTGCTTATGATATTGCATATACCCATTGGCGTATTAATTAATAGATGACTCTATTAGATATGATTGTAATCATTACAAATTAAAAAATAATTAGACGTGATACAAAGGTGTTTCAAAAGTTTGTTTTTTTTATTTAATTTTTTCTATTTCAGAGAAGAAAAACATGCAAGATACAATTACAATACAGTTACATGGAAAACGTACATTTACGATACAGTATTGGTTAAACGTTAGTGTTTAAGAAATTTATACCTTTGGTATTATTTAAATTAAAAGTTGTTTATCTATTTTGAAATTTAATAATATGGTTGTCAAACTCGTATTTAGAAGCTAAACAAAAGGTTATTATTTAAAAATAGATGTATATATTGTTCGAGTTAATGGGAACCTACTATATTTGTCGCGTTGTTTGTTGCTGCTAGTTCATTTCTAATCAATTTTTTATTCACGTAGAAGTTTTTTCCAAAATTGACTTGCCGATAAAGTGTTGTTGGTGTAGAAAAATTGGCGTCATTCGATCATTCGAAGGGCTACTCATTTTTATTCAGGAATGGAGCGAAGATGAAAAATTGGTACAGAGTGCGTTTTCATTGGAATTATCTAAAGTCGGAAGGAAGTTTGATAATGATTAAAGCTTTTAAAGCCAATTTACAGATATCAATATCTGTGATGTCATGCCAATAAGTGCTTACGTTTACTCGTTCACTCGATTATGCATGTATTCAAGAAGTGATTTAATTGGCTACTACAAATAGATTATACTCGGGACATTGCATAATGCTTTTAGTATCGTGCAATAGGGGCATATATTTCTGTATAAGTGCCATCGAATACAAGCCCGGACGCTAATACCTTACCGACGATAAGTAATACGTAAATAAAGTAAATGAGTAGGAATATGCTCCATTATCTCGATGACACTTTCGAAAGTTCAGATAGTATGATCAACTTCACTCGCATGGCAATGATGCAACTGTTATTATTATGCATGTGTTATAAATGCAGAAGATTCCGATAACCATTTCCAACAATTATAGTACGCCCCTATTTCCAGCATTATGCTGGATAGATCGTTTTGTAGCACTAGCGCCAAAGGTTCAGTAAATATAGGAATATTTATTTAACTTCCAATATTACTACAAAATAAACGAGCTGATATCTATTATATATCGTATCAAACTTTGAAAAATTCCATGTAGATTTCTAAAACACAACATAAATCCCTGGCTGGGAAGCAACACCTTCGATGAATTGTCATTCCACATTCTCCACATGAAACTAGGGCTTAAATCCATGACAATCAAAGTCGGTCATTGTTTCCTACTCTTGTTGAATTATTGTGTTTCAGACGAATTATCATAATTATAACTAATCATGTACTAGATATTTTTATATCTTTCAAATTTAATCCTACATATAGATAGGCATGACTCCGAGGCAGATGTAGGCAAAATGTAAAATGGTCAGTTTTGACGTTTCAGCCTTGCAAAATCCTTCCAAAAAATGTTTCTCGCGATAATTATTCTAGTAAAGTGATACTTTATAAAATCTTTTGCAATGTGTGAAAACATTGAAGCACAAAACTCAGATGAAGTTATCTTTATCCTTAACTTTGAATTCATTCAAAGTCTGGAAACAACAATAACTATACGTTGTTTAAATCAACTAATTACTGTGCTTAAATTTTTTATAAATGCATGGCGGTGGTCAGGACGTCACTTGAACACGCTGGTCAATCAAGTGTACTATTTCCGTCTGAGTAATACGGAGCACACGTACGTGTGTAGCAAGACGCCTCACTAAAATTTAACAGATATATATTTATTTGAGGAATTTATCTAAGTTTTGTGCTTCAATGCTTTTCACACATTGCAAACGATTTTTGTACAGTATCTCTTAATGAATGATTATTTTCGGGAGGAACCTTTTTGCAAGGATTTTCTAAGGTAAAAAGTCAAAACTGAAGCAACATTTGATTTGCCTCACCTATTTACATTTGCCTCCCAAAATGTTTAATCTGCACTGGTTATCATCTTTAATGTCCGATTGTTTAATGTAAAAAGAACTTGTAATTATTATGAGGACACACACCATTTTAATAACACGAACCTGTTAGATAGCTACTACCAAGTGCTACTCTATTCAAAGAGATCGTGAGGTTAATTGGTATAATTCATAAATATCATATAATCAACTCAGTGTAATGGTAATACACAGTGCGACGGGGGTGTATTATAGACAAACGATTAACACAGTATGGGCGATCTCATTGTTATGCAATAAAATAGATTCAATTACGGAATCATGTCTACACCCCCCTTTATAAATTTGACAATCGGAAGTTCACTTTTTGATCACATACCAAATTCTGCTTATGTCTGGCAATTTGAAAAGAATTAACAAAGTCAAGATATTGAACTATTGTAAGTAACAGAAAGAACATTAGGCATTGATATTTAAACACTGACAACTTTGATACGTAATCCAAATACATGCTATTCTGTTGCCAGAGAGGGGAGTGTAATTATATGCTTTTTTCCAGACGCAACTGAACTAAACTTTAAGGCCATTGCAAGTTATACAAGTGTGTTTAAAATGACGTTCAAAAACCTCATTGGACTAATTTTGTCTTCCAGATTGACATTTTGGAGAAATAAATGATAATTTGCTCAAATGGGAATTTTAAAAAATATGCTGAGTCAATCAAATTCAATGATATTCTGAATAAAAGTAGATAATTTTGATCCATTGTTGTTGTTTTCCTTTTTTAATAAATCTTTATTTTCACATATTATTTTACAGGTTATTTATGTTTTTACTGTAGAAGGAAAGAGAGGGAGAAAGGAAATTTGATCCATTGTTGACATAATGAGATAGTTAAGACACTAAAATCCTCTTAACGTATGGTTGGCGATTTCAAAAGTTGACTTTGTCATTAGTTTGTGAAATATATGGTAATTAAGGAACAAAAATAAGAACAAAAATTGACATGATTTGATATACTATCCGATGAATATTTCCGGATGCCAAGCTTATTAAGGGGGTGTATCCGTTGTCAATACAATGCATTTAATGCAGCCACTTGAACTGACCCCTTCCGTGACCATTCATACATAAAGGCAATATCCAGAACAATTTTCCATTAGAACTGGACAAATTACGCGCTAATACAATGCTGTTAAAAGTCATCGTAATTTCTGGCATAATCGGAGTTATTAGCTGCTACGAGGGAAGTATAACCAAACAGCAGTTAAAAGAAAGATTCGGCTGTCCGATTTGCTTGCCCGCTACCTGCCCGATTCCTATGGGATGTGATTCCTACGTACGGGAACCAGGCGTATGCGGATGTTGCTATACATGCGCACGAGTTCAAGGAGAACGATGCGGGGTAAGATAAACTAAAAATACACATAAAGTAACCTATTAGTAAAACATTTCTTTTCAGGAAAACATTTTATAATTATGACTTCACAGTCAGAGGATAATATACTAGTACTTCGTGAAATTCGGTATTTTTGATAAAACAACTTTTATCGTCGGCGTTTTTTCTTTAGCATACAATTTTTGAAATTTACTCTGTATAGAATGTTCTAGTATAGTACTATATGATCTGGTAATAATACTATAAATAACGTAAATAGGTGTAAAGGGGCGTATAAAGAATCCAATAATCTGACAAAAAAGACGAAGAACTTGAAAAGTTAAACTACTTTGATTATGGGCTTTCCTATGAGTCCACTGTTATATTTCTTTCCGTGCATTTTCCTCGAAATAGTATGAATTGAACTCCATATTTAATTGCTGTACGGATCAACTCCTTAGTTAGATTTTGTATAGAACCCGAGTGTGCCATGTAGATATGTTAATCTAATTGTTCAGATGAGACAGAGTGACACAAAAATGCCAACCGCTAATTTTGGAATAACTTTTCTTAATAAGGGAATTTTCATGATTCTTTATGTGTATAGAGAGTCCAATCGAGAAAAGATTGGTATGCTCATGGGCTTTCTCTTGGTATGTTTAACTTTGGAGCGATATCTCATTATATATTAGATATCTCTCATCCACGGAGTCATTCAAAAGTGTAAATTAGAGAATCGTTCTCAAAATTACTCAATAAGTGAGTCAGTTTATCAAATGACAAAATTAATAGAGAAAATGCGAAGATATGACATTTGTTGATGTATGTGTTATGTGAAAGCAATTCAGAAATGACTCGAATAATAGCTAAGACTAAGATTTTTGTCTTTTTTAGCATTTTTGACGATTGCCAAGAGAAAAGTCTGGATGGAACTGATGATACCTCTAAATCTCAAAGTTGTTGATGTTATTTAAGTTCACCAATCTTCTTTCGTTTGAATACTCTATCTGCACAAGAAAAGTCACAAAGATTCCTTAACTTTGAGAACGTTATTTCAAAATAAGTGGTTGTCACTTTTATGTCACCCTGTACAATGTATAGTATTATAATCAGGCTATTATTCCAAGAACAAATAACATTATATTGGAAATATCAGGTCCATTAATCATCATCATACGTTTAGTCAGATGACGTGCCCGGGATGACGTGTTATACGCCCTTACCAGTTATAGTTAATCTTATCGAAACTTTTAACGATATCACGTGGTTATCCATCGTCGTTTTTAACTGGGTCTAGAGACCCCGAGGCATAAAAAGTCAATTTTTTCTACCATTCATATGTGGCGGTTAATGGCTCGGTGATAAGTCCATGCGCCCAATCAGAACGCTCTGCTTCGTCACGTGACAAAATATTGAAAATGTCAATACGGACTGAATAAATATCGCATCGTTGATTGGCCGTTTGGTTTTGTGGCTTCTCACAAAACTCTGCGGGCAGCTGCCAGGAGGAGCAATACTGAGAGTGAATTCAGTTGGGGTTTATTTACACAGTGGTCG